TCTAAGTGGTACGAGGCACACCACAAATGAGTATCTGATAATATATTAGTGTAAGCGCTGGACTTTTTAGACTGAATTTGTGAAGGAAGCTGAGGTTTCAATTTGAGATGACAAAATTGACATTCCATTTGTCCAAATAGTGGTAACTAGGGATGGACTCGGGTCCGGGTCGGGCCTAGGCCAGTGCGGGCCAGCGGGTCAGAAATGGTGGACCCAGGACCGGCCCAAGTAACCACCGGGTCCGGTCCAGGTCCAGGCCGGGCCCATTATAATTTTTTTTTTGTTTTCCTCTTCCTAATTAACCCCCCTCTCACCCCCAACCCCCCAAACCACCCCAAATGGCCCAAAATACCCAGCCCAACCCAAAAATTTAAAAAAAAAATGAAAAAAAAATAGTTTTTGGCCCGAACCGGGCCCGGTCGGGTCGGGCCTTGTTTTGGGTGACCCGAGCCCGGACCAGAAAACCCACAGGTCGGGCCTACCTGTAGTGGTGGACTCGGGCCGGGCCAACCGGCCCGGAACCGGACCGGCCCACTACTGTGCGGGCCCGGACCGGCCCAGTTTGTCGGTTAGGTCACGGTTCGGGCCACCCGGCCCGGTCATGTAGCGGTTCGGGCCCGGGCTTATAATTTGGTGAACCGGCCCGGTCGGGCCTCAACGGTCACAAAAAAAAAAATTAAAAATTTGAAGGCTCTACTAGCCGTTGGGAGACCTCCCAAACGGCTCTATAGCCGTTGGGAGCATAGGAGGGGGGGTCTGGGGGGTTAGGGGGGGTGGGGTGGGGTGGGGTGGGGTATACAAAAAAAAACCTATTTATACTCCTATTTTCTATACATTTTTTACACCTCTTCTTCTACAACTCTTCCTACTCTCTAAAATCTAAATTCTCTATTCTCTTAATCTCTCATATTCAATCATCTTCATTCTTCATCTTCTCCAAATTCTTTCTACATATATATAATTTATATAATTATTATATCTACTTATATATTATAATATTAATTATCTACTTATAAATATATACTTATACACATTCATATTATAATTCTTTACGCATTATATTATATACTATATATTGTTATACATTATATTATATATTACTTATAATATATTTACACATTATATATTTATATATACTATATATAGTTATACATTATATTATATATTACTTATAATATATTTACACATTATATATTTATATATACTATATAGAGTTATACATTTGATTTATATATACACTTCTCGTTTATCTATTTAATTACTTAATTGTTTCATTTGTCATATTAATATTAGTTAAAGTAGTTAAAGTTAATTGTTTCATTTGTCATATTAATATTAGTTAAACTACTTAATTGTTACATTTCTCATATTAGTTAATTAGTTAATTGCTACATTTTTACATTTCTCATATTAGTTAATTGCTACATTTGTACATTTCTCATATTAGTTAATTAGTTAATTGCTACATTTTTACATTTCTCATATTAGTTAATTAGTTAATTGCTACATTTTTACATTTCTCATATTAGTTAATTAGTTAATTGCTACATTTTTACATTTCTCATATTAGTTAATTGCTACATTTGTGCATTTCTCATATTAGTTAATTAGTTAATTGCTACATTTTTACATTTCTCATATTAGTTAATTAGTTAATTGCTACAATTTTACATTTCTCATATTAGTTAATTGCTACATATCTCATTAACGTAAAAAAAACTAGTTAATTTTTACATTTCTCATATTAGTTAATTAGTTAATTGCTACAATTTTACATTTCTCATATTAGTTAATTGCTACATATCTCATTAAAGTAAAAAAAAACTAGTTAATTTTTACATTTCTCATATTAGTTAATTGCTACATATCTCATTAAAATAACAAAACTAGTTAATTTTTACATTTCTCATATTAGTTAATTGCTAATATTTGTTCAATTTTAAAGATGGAGCGTGGTAGACATTTTGTAGATGTGGGTAATCTCCAACGCAACCGCAAGAGGGAGATTGCATCGACTCGATCTACTTCACGCAAAGGCAAAGGTAAAGCGCGGGCCGAGTCTTCTTTTCAAAGTCGAGATGATTTTGAAACGGATTACCAACGGCGAGATGGTATGATGATGTCCGACGAGGAACTACAACACCTATTGTCCCAAAATGATCCACGTTTTGCACAAGAACAACAATTCCCGACAACCATCGATGAAGAGGAGCTCGAGGATGACGATGGGGAGGAGGACGCGGGGGGCGACGGGACTCCGGATGATGAGCAAGAGGACGAGGGCCCTTCAACGACTACAACCAAAATTGATAAGAAATCTAAATCTGCTATTATTGAAAACAATTATACAAAAAGGAAAGACGAAAAAACCGAAAAATGGTACGCAAGTTGCAATCATTGCAAGAAAGAGTTTAGCTTGGGAATTTCTGGCGGATACGGGAGTCTCAAAAGGCATCTTCAGTCCACCCACGTTGTGGAGTATGCGAAAATAGACAAAGGAAAGGGGAAGCAAACACAAATATCAAGGTTTGCAAATTCTCAACCCTTTGGTAATTTTTCCTATGATGATAAAAAACATTTGACTGGTATGTCTCATTTAATTGTTGAAGAAAATTTACCCTTTATTTTTTCCGAAAGTCTTGCTTTAAGAGATTATGCTCAAGGTACTTTAAATCCTCAATTTAGAAATTATAGTCGCAAAACGATTAAAAAAGAAGTTATAAGGCAATATAACTTGGAAAAAGAAAAATTACAAATATTTTTCGCAAACTTTGATGGACGTGTTAGTATTTGTAGCGATATATGGGAGGATACTTATCATCATTTATATTATTTGGGTCTAACTGCACATTATATTGATGATGATTGGAATATGCATAAACGTGTTCTTGCTTTTCGTGAATTCAATGATCGTCACACTGCTGATAATATTTATATTCTCATTGAACGTATTTTAATTGAGTATAATTTGATTGATAAGGTGTTTGCTGTAGGTTTTGATAATGCTAGTAATAATACTGCTGCTATACCTAGATTACGTGAATTGTGTGGTGCTTCTACATTGATGGGTAGATTTTTTCATCAACGTTGTGCATGTCATATTCTAAATTTGTGTGTACAAGATGGCTTAGCGGCATTAGGAAATGCTTTGGAGGTAGTGAAGGGGGGAATTAAATTGACTTGGGCTAACACTCCACTAAAAATGCAATGGCGGCAATATTTGAAGGATAGACGTGTGAATTATTGTGCTTTTCCTAAAGATTTGTCTATTCGTTGGGATAGTACTTATAATTTAATTCAAGTACTTGTTAGATATAAAGATCATTTTCCAGCTTTTTTAAGACAAACTTGTAACTATATTATAAACTCGGCTGACATCGACACTTGTGAAAAAATTGTTAATGTTTTGGCATATTTTAATAACGCAACTCTAACTTTTAGTCATGTTTATAAACCTACCGCAAACGAATTTTTTGTTGAAGCTGTTAATCTCGCCGGCGCTTTTTGTGAATTTTCCGACGCCGCTTACGTTAGTTATTTTTGTGATTTCATGAAACAAAAGTTTTTAAAATATTATTCACATATTCCGCATATATATGGTATTGCATTTGTTCTTGATCCTCGTTATAAACTTCCTTACTTGGCAAATTGTATAGATTACTATTATGCTTCTTTTTTTCCAACTCAAGAGTTCGATGATAATCCCATCGACCCTAAACAAGAATTCAACGAGGTTAGTAATTTATTTCATCAATTGTATAATGAATTTCATGCACAATATGGTAATGCACCCCCTCCCATGCAACGAACATCTTCTTCATCTAAAGGAAAATCACTTTTAAAATCCGCTTTTGGTTCTCTTTTGAAAAAAAGTAGAGCAACTCCCGCTACTGAACAAAGCTCAGGTAACGAGCTTTCTTTGTATCTAACATTGAATGTTGATTATGAAGTTGGTGATGACTTTGACGTTCTTAAGTGGTGGAAGGAAAATGAAAGAACATTCCCCATTTTATCAAAGATGGCTAAGCAAGTACTAGCAATGCCGATATCAACCGTTGCCGTGGAACAAGAATTCAGTGCGGCCGGCAACGTCCTAACCGATTTTAGAACGAGGTTGAGCCCGAACTCTTTTGAGACACTAGTTTGCTTTCACGATTGGTTGAAGGCCCAACGAAGAACTCAAGAAATTACCATCACTCCCTCCCGCCACTTTATGGAGGAAACAACCGAAGGCGGAGAGTCCGATTGATTTTTTATTACAAAATGTATTACATTTTTTAAATTCATCCTAATTCTCAATTGTACTTCTTATTTGAAATAAATATACTTCAATTCGAATATAATATATTGTAATTGTAATAAGATTTATTCTAATTATATAATAATTAAAAAAAATTAAATAGGCCCGGCCCGGCCCGCCGGGCGGCCCGGCCCGTGAACCGGGCAGGTGACCCAAACCGAACCGGACCAGGGGTTATCCGGGCCGGTTCCGGGCCTGCCTTCCTAGAACCGAGGCCCGGCCGGGCACAGGACCGAACCGGGCCCGAACCGGCCCGAGTCCATTCATACCTACCCGGACCGGTCACTGACCGGGCCACCGGGTCGGGCCGGGCCGGAACAGTACCGGTCCCGGGCCAGTTCCAGGTCGGGCCACCCGGCCCGAGTCCATCCCTAGTGGTAACAAAACAAAAGGCGTAAAACCACAAAAGAGTAAAAACGAGCAACACATCAACGGCCTGCAATAATGCTCTCAAATTAGAACTTCCCACCATTACAAGTTCACAACCTTTATGAAAAGGGCATGGAACTATGGAAGTTGTGAAGAAAAATGACAACTACTTAAATATTGGAATTGCAACCCAGTTCACCAAAAGAAAGAATCGAAGATTTTTAAACCTCACAATAAGCAGTATAAAGAACAAGAGGCCAGCTAAAACTTGTTCTGTGTCAACGTGTTAAGACCTAGAAAAGGCCTTTCAGGTCGCTAAAGCATAAAAGGCTCAAAATCTCATCCAGATATGGAAAACGCAAGATACCAAGGACTTGAGTTTGGTGTTAGAAATGAACTTATGTGATACTGTAATAGAAACACCAGAAATTGAGATGTAGAAAATACAGCAAGAAAAGCGCAAACAATAAGTTTTAATAACACAAGTGAAAATATTTAAACAGGTGATTGAACATTCAAAATGTTTGATTGGATTATCTAAGTTGCAATGGCCAATAAAAACACAAACAAAATGTTTTAGCTTGGGGGTGCACCGCCACCAAAGCCTCCAGCACCACGTCCAAAGCCAGGCCTCCCAGATCCACCACCACTCTGCAATTTAAATGAAGGTCAATCATTCATTATGGATATTATGACATAAAACATGGGGTTGCAAAAATTGTACAATTTCTTTCTGCATTTCAAAACAAGGAAACTGCTACCTTTGACATGCATGAAACTTCTAAATTATGTTTAAAGTAGAACACACTTATCTATCATTATTTATACTTGAATTATAAAGTTCAAATCTATTTAATGAATTGCTTAATTTAATATTTATTAAAATTTGCATGATTTTGAAACAAATTTCATGAAACAAGAACTTCATTTATTTTAAAAAAACATTTGTCAATAAACAAAATCAAACATCTGAAACATGATTTTTGTGAGGAATTGGGATCACCAAGTACAATCCAATAAATTAAATGTAGCCATCCTTGATGAAAAGACAAGTTAGATTGTTATTGGGATATACTCCATAAGAAATAATCAGAACTTAACAATAGTCCTAAAATTATATAACAAACGGTTGTTTTTTATTGTCAAGTAGGAACAGAATCTATTCTAGTTTGGTTGAGGTTAGTCTGAAAAGCAGCTTGACAGTTATAAATACATTTAAATGTTACAAACATGTAGGTTTAATTCAAGGGTTCATTAGTATGAAAACAAAATAAAAAGCTGCTAGAAATAAATATAACCGTTCAAATTTCCTACTTCTCAAAATATGGGAATGTTTTCAAACATGATAGAATATTCAACAGCTGAAAATATAAAAATGAACACAAGAACCGAAAAAGTTCTTAGCGCTATCAAATCATTGAGCTAACAGTGAAAAAACTGGATAAAGGGCCAAATTAAAAATCATTCATTCAGAAAAAACAGAATTAATATTATGCATATAAAAGATAATAGTGAATACTTACACTGAAGGCTGGCCTGTAATCAGCTGGAGCTCCTCCCTTCTCACCACCAAAATCGCCAGGTTGACCTCTAGGGCCTCCACGGTACCCTTCCCTGTCTCTCCTCTCTCCATCGGCAAATCTAGATGGTCCACTGGGAATTTCAACCATAGATAACAATGATTATGGATTAATACGCCTGTAAAATCACACTTTTTAGGAAATTCAGGGAAATCAATTACCGAGTCCTTTCCCCTGGAGGACCCATGGGCCTGCCAAGGGGTTTGGCAGACTTCTTCAGAGTTGCAGGGACAATCTCAGATGGAAGGTTGAGGTAAGTTCTGAGGAACTCAATACCATCATTGGTAAGGTACCAGTAGTAATGCATCCACGCAAAGGTCTCTTTAACGTACTCCTTTGACTTGAAGCTTTGCATGAGCTTAATTACTTGCAGATTCGGTACATCAATTAACGGATGCTTCGCCAAGTTATAATCTTTCTTAGCATACAAGACTCCCTCTACACAATCATTCACACTACATACGTTATGGCAATTCTATACAGTGCGCAAAAATTTAATCCTCGCCTTCACTGCCAGAAATGTATACACATTCGATGCAGATATATCGAAAATGAGTCAACTGACCTTGAAAGAGGTATTTGGAGATATCTTTGCGGTTCTTCTCCGGAATGATCTGAAACATACGGAAAATCAATATAATGGATTGGCGCACAAAGTTTTAGACGCATAAAAGAGTACGTAGGTTGAGAGAGGAGGCGTGAGCTTGGTTACCATGGTTGGTGCCGCTGAATGTTTCGAGGAGAAGGAAGTTTCCGGCGAATGCAACTGCTGAGCTGAAACCTCTCTGCTAAACCTAAACAGAAGAGGTAAAAAGAAAAGTTTATATCACTGGGCTAGGTTTTACGAGAGATTTTGGGGACTTGGGCCTGAGCTAGCATGATTGTTTGGGCTAGTTACTCGCTTTAGTTACTGGCCAATCACAATTCAAATATGGGCCTGAAGACATGGGAATATAAACCATGAAAGACTACACCTACTCGTATGAACCAAGAGGATCGGGCGATTCTATTCCGAACCACCAAATTACTATTGAGTAAACAAGACGAAGTACCCGTGCGACGGTGCGATGCACGGGATACATCTACAATAAAAAAAACGATTGTGATTTCTATAATCAAAACTTTTATTGTACTAATATGAGTAGTTTTTTACGTTGGATTGCTTTGTTTTTACAATACTTTGGATATTATGAATATGCACATGCTAATCACACCTAGTGTGAATCACAATAAGTTTGTTTATGTTTATTTAATTGATTTTGGTTGTTTATGGTCATCGTTATTAAAAACTGCTTTATATATGACTGAAATTCAGACAAAGTGTACAAATAGGAGTACTTATATTTTATTCACAAAATATATCTTATGGGATCTCATAAAAGTAGAAAACTTTTCCTATTAGGATTGAATATTTATATTTTAAAAAGAAAACAATGATTATCATATTTATATACTTTGTCTAGGTTTTAGTGATTTTTAGGGAATCTTATCTATTATTATTTCCTTTTATATTTTTTTTCGGATGTCGATTCTGTATCAGTTGAATTATTAGTGTGTAAATATATTGTGCATACATTATGCATACGCGCGAATTAAACAATTGGACAATCGGAAAGGTTTCTAAATGAATTAGACTTAGTAAATTATATATTTTTCGTAAGGTAAGAATTGAACATATTATTTTAACATTTTTCAGGATGCATGGAATTATTTATGACCTGATTTATATGATTGATTTATTGTATTTATATTGATTTAGTTTCAATAAAATCAAATTTCCTAATGAAAGAATGTACTCCGTATTATTTATGGTCAAATTATACTGTTGGAATTTTAAACTGGAATTTATTAGTAGCAATGTTTAATTGTTGTGTTTTATAAAATAAAATTAATAAAATGTGTGAATTTCTTTACGAAAAGTTCCTAATGATATCTAAATTTTGAGTTGGAATTTATGTGTGGGTTCATAGTTGTGAAATGGCATGGAACTTAATCAAGCATTCCAGCCCAGCTGATTGTGAGGTTACCGTGCCTAGTGGGAGGTCTCGAGTTTGAAACCCGTTAGGCACATAAGGGTTTGAAACTCAATGAAGTGAGTTTCAGCCCTGATTACTTCAGGGGGGCCAGCCCCCCTCCCCCAGACCCCCCTGGAGTAAAACAATGGCATGGAACTTTATATAATTATACACATCATACGTGTATGATTATATGGAATGTTTTTATTTATATGGGATGCTTTTGTTTATGGAAAATTTAATTATTCTACGGCTTACATGATGATTCCATTGATGGACTAAAAGATTAAAATTGGTAGCAATTTAATACTCCGTTACTTTAAAGAATAGCATTGGTTGGCAGTTTACAATTTTACATAAAGATTTCCAATTATGCCCCTGAAATGGGGGTTGTTTCCAAAAACAGTAGCAACTCTACTGCTTTGTATTATATAAAGATTCCTCAAATAGAGCTAAAAGCCATCCCTTGTGCACAAATACAACTAAAAATTGACTGTATTGTTTCGTAGGACCAAAAACATTTGTATTTTAGTTTTAGCCTAAAAACTGATATGCATGTAATGGAAGTTTTGCAAAACCACAATTTGAGAAAGTGGTCGAAATGTAGGGAATCGATGTACAACAATAATGATGGAAGATTGTATTCGGCGGCAGGGTCGGCAATCAAACCATAAAGGAAACTACCAAAAGTACTCACTCCTTGTGCCCCGTTTCATTCAAAATAAAAAAATGGCAGGAGAAATGAGTAAAAAACCAGCGACGAAGATTTACCAAAGAGCATCGACGACGTGGAGGATTCCAAATTTGAAATCCAGAGATCTGGAGTTCAGAGCGGCCGAGTTAATGGCAACATGGTACCAAAGAAAAATTTAGTTGAATTGTGGGAGTAATTTCTGGGTTTAGGGTTCTTAAAACCATTTAAGCATGTTCAAATGTGGTTGTGCTGGAGTAACAAATTGAATGTCATTATTGTGTAAGAATCGATCGAAGAAATGGAAAGAGAGAGTAACTTGGCAGAAGATGAAAAGAAATGGAAGAATGTTTGAGTAATAGAACAGAATTAGTAAAGAAAATACAAGATGAAATAAAAATACATATTAGTAACGTATGACATAAGGTTGGATTTGGGAACATGTGTTTTTTGTATATGTTATACATTTGTGAGTGATTATGCTTGTGATGGCATATTAGTGAGATTCTGCATATGAAATTGGCATTTTTCAGAAGCAGAATGAAATTGTTATGGCAGAAAGAAAATAGATCTTTGGCACAAGCGTAACATCATAAGAAAATATAAAAGATGGATAATATAACGTTCAAAAGCCCACTTGTATTAGATAATTCACTGATTACACAAGAAGTTCCCGAACGGTACGTCGGAATAGTGATTAATACAAGTACAAGAGTAATTAAGCTATTCTAGGCTTTGAGTCTCAAAAATCTAACCCTTTACAATGAAGTTAATCCTTCTATTTATACTAATGGGGGGTATGGAGTGCTTCATGGTGATTGGTTGCTATTGCAGCCACTTGAAAGCCCATATTCTCACTTGCTGCCGCCATACTCTGACAATAAATGCTTCCTGCCACTTGTTGGCTGCCCGTTGCCCGAACGGGTAATGGACCCTGCTGGAATTATCATTGATCTAGCCCAAGTACATCGGCTGACCCGAACCCCGTTCAGTACATATCCATGAGCCTGTTCATCTTCTGGATTTTGGGCCCATTTGTTGGACTGGATATATTGGGCCTTTGATCCAGGTATTGGGCCTTCGGCCCAATATCCCAACACGAGTCCCCCACTTCCGATGTCTCGAACGGCAGTGAGTGCATTGGAAAGTAGAACTTATACGCCGAATGGCGATCGGGACCCAAAATTCGTTGGTTCCCCGTACCATAATTTGCACCTTATTTGCGGTTGTCGTTTGATTTTTTTTCATAATCGTCATGATTACTGGCCCTTGATCTCCTATGCGACACGTGTTGTTGAAGACTATTTTATTGTGAATCAAGTTTGTCTGTTTTGTCTGTAATAAGTTAGATGTTTACTATTTCTATTCTGTACTGATTAAATATATCTGTTAGAATAGTATTCAATATGGGCCAAGTGTTAGGCCCATACTCAGGCGAGAAGCCTTTTTACGCATACCTGAGCCTCGCCTATAAAAGAGGGAGGAGGACTCAGGTTTGCGGTTAACTTTCGTGTCTGCTCAAAATAGCCTTAGCGCTTATCATTCTTGTACGAAAGATTCACGGTATATCAGAGAAGGTTTACACTTGATCTTTCTGTGTTCATCTTTGTTGTTAATCTTTCATCTGTATGCCATATTATACTGTTGTTATAGAAAACAGGGACTAACAAATGGTATCAGAGCCGATCGAGAGCTGATCAGAAGAACTATCTGCTAAAGACTCTGTTTTTGTAGAATAGCGAGTTTATCATCTGTAATCTGATAAGCCCAGAATACTTAACAAACAACAAATATAGCAGTTATAGAAGAAGCAGATAGAAAGATATGTAGATATTATACGAATCTGGTATACCGTGTAAACTGGCCGCCGCTCTCCCTGGAGAAGGAGAGCAGCGGCAACCCTGCTCTCTATCTTTACGCCTCTAAACTCTAAGCCTCTATCGATCGTTAGGGTTCCCGTAAGTTAGCCTCCTTTTATAGGAGAAGTTAGCTAACTTACGGGTTACAAGGAAGCCCACGGGCTGATACACATTTGTGGCCCGTATTACACGATTAATTAATAACTACACAAATACAAAGATAACTAACTAGATTGAACACCATAAAATATTCCCAAAAATCTCCCCCTTAGTGATCAATCGTGTTGAATCAGCATTGCAGCGCAGATATCTTTGTCTTTGTTGTTATTGAGCTTCCTTTGTCTTTGAACTTGACTTCTGAGGAAGGCTATCTGAAGAAATCCTTGCAATCTCCCCTTTGATGTCTTCTTGACAATTTGATCTTTGATGTCGGGGGTTGAGGGACCTTCAGTATCTTGCATGTAGTCCTTGCCTTCCAGAAGTTGCTCTTGATCAGCTTAGATGAAGTCCGGTGACGCCTCTAGAATGAATGTTCTTTGGAGAAACAGGAGACGCCCATGGAAATCATCTTCAGGACAGGAGTATTTGACCTCTGTCTCCTCCACAATGTAGTCTTTTTTTTTGACTATTTGGAATGAATGCATTTGAGGAGAACTTGTCGGTGGCACAGCGGAACATAATGATCGTTGATTTGTGAGTGTAGCTGACCATTTGATTTGAGTTGCGGAGATAGTAGAGAGGGTGTTGAATTTTGTGATGAAGGAGTGAGTGAAGTGTCCCAGAATGATTTGTTCAATGTTAACAGCATGTGGACCACTCTCCCCCTCATGACGATCCGATGAATCGGGACGTCATGCTTTTATTCTTTTATTCTGCGGAAAAAAAACATGAAAAACAAGCAGAATCTAAAAAAGATAACGTAGCCCCCCGGGGTCGTGAAGACGCCCGTTATCATCACTATAGAGATAAACTCTAAAGCAATGGCCTGAAAATGTTGGTGATTCTTATGTTGCAACAGCAGGACTTCCTTCCAATTATTGGTCTACATCTGTATTAGATGAGCCCTATGGAAGTTCTCGCAAGTCTTGAAGACTAGCAACTGACTCTAAAATGTGTCTGTGTCCTAGAAAATTTCAAAACATTTGGGAGTGAGTAACTAGACACGACGTGATCAATGAAAGTTCAGTGGCATGGGGCTGAGGCCACTGTAGTCAGTATTACTTGCCTCG